GTGAGGAGTTGATGATGAAGCAAATGGCTGGCACAGCGGCCCTGGCCTAGAGCCCACAGGCCTGCACACCGGCGGGGGCGTCGGGAGCTATCGGGAGCCCGCCTGCATCTTCCAACACCACTCGACAAGCCAGAGTGGCACCTGCCAGCTGGCCGGACCCCACGGAGGCGCCCTGGCAGCCAGGGGCTGGGGAACCAGATGGCTTTGGTGGCTCGGAGGAGAAGGGTGTGAACTGGAAATGGTGGCGGGAAGAGGCGCTGCCCAGGAGGAAGGGGGCTCAGCGACGGCGGAGACGGGCGGGGGGGGGGGGGGACGGGCCGCAGCTTTCACAATGCCATTTACACGTAACCATCCGCACACACCAGCCTGGAACGCAGATGATGCCTGTAACCCCGGCGATGCGGTGATGCGAGACCAGCTTCCAGGAGAAATCTCCCTGGACAGAGAGCGTGCATTTTCCTTTTCACTAATTCCTTAATGTTCTTACCTTTTTAAAAATGAAAATATCATTTTCACGCTAAAAATCATGCACGCACACACACGTACGTGTCGTAGTCTCTGCACATTTCAGTTTGCAATTTTCTTTCGTGAACTACAGGAAAATGAAAGGAAGAAAGAATATGTGTGAAAAGGTGGTTATTGTGTGTCTGTTCCATGTGGTTTTCTGGTGTTTATTTGACCAGATGTTTGTTTCTTTTACTAAAAGCTCCCAGGGGACTGGACCTTGGACAAAAGAGGTAAATAGAAAATAAAAGCAATGCTTTCTCAAAGCGAGATAATTTAGGCAAAATGGAAAGGTAAGAAGGAAGAAGGTTAAAAATTAAGAATCTCCTGTCATCGAGAGCATAAGACGTCCACTTTCTGCCCATATCCTCGTGTGGAAACACACATGGACCTTCACTGAGAAGTGTATTAACTGCCTAGTTTCATTCATTGATGGGAACCTTTATTGAACGTCTAGCACGCTTTGGGCGTGTGCTTCAAAGAGAGAGAGAGCGAGAGACAGTCCCCACAGCACGATAAAGACCAACAATTAGCCCCCAGCACGCACCCAGGAATGAATCAAGGTAGCACTCGAAGAAAAGCGGGATTTTACAAAATCGCCACCATGAGACCCAACAGAACAAGCCCAAAGGGCCACACGGCCTCAGCCCGCAGGTTAGATCAACTGTTCAACCCAATTCATACCGAGGGAAGAAGGGACACGCCATAGGGGTAATCAGACATCTTGTGAAATCATGCATATTCCCATCAGGCTTTGCTGCCATCCCAGACGTGGTTCCCAGCTCCCAGTCTCGTCGGGGCCATCATTCCTGCCTGGAACTTACGCCAGACCCCTGACCATCTTGCCCGGCGGGTTCTCTGCACAAGCACGCAGCCCCTTAATGCATCAGTCACGTCACGGCACTCGCTGAGGCTCTGCCCGCACAGCAGAACCCACGGTGGGTACCACGCGATCTACCCACCCCCTCCCACACCCCTCTCCCCACCTCCCAGCCTCACTGGCTTTCTCATTCTTCCGACACACCAAGCTCGCCCTGATATCAGGGGGCACATGGAACATTCTAGAACACTCTGGAACACTCTCCCCCGCCCCGGGGCCCCACTCACCATTCAGGTCTCCCCGTCTAAGGGCCTCACCCAGCCCATGCCGGCCACTCTCTCTCACGTCCCTGTCTTCACAGCACCTGTCACCACCTGAAACCATCCAGGTCTGGCAGGAGGCGCCTGGGACACGCTTAGGGAATGGACAGAGCACATTCCTCCTGGAGGGCGGACGCGTGACTCAGACGCCACGGCCACCGCCGGAAACTCCAGAGGAAGATAGAAAAAGGCTGAGTTTTTCCTTCCGGGAGGATGTGACCTCACGTGGCAGGAGCGCATGGGCGGGGCCGCCCCCCGCTGCTGGGACTCCTCACAGGTCGTTAGGAGATGCTTGAAGAACCCCGTGGTCCACGGGGAAGCGGGTCACAGGGATGACTTCCTCCCGAATGGGTGCTCTGTAACTCCCACGCGGTCCCCCATGAAAGGGGTGTGTTTGTTGAAGGCGGGAAGGTGTAAACGGACTTCGCTTTCCTCGGAGGTGAGCTCTTCAGACCGGCTGCCGCCCCCTCCCCACAGGCTCAGGGTAGGTATAAGGCGAGAGGCCGCCAGCGCCCCAGGAGGCAGGGCTCAAGGGATCCTTGCTGTGCCGGACCCGAAGCAGGCCTGCGATTCTGTCAACCTGCAAACGAGGTGGCTGTCCGAGCAGGCTTGCCACGGACATGTGGAGACGCGAGGGGGATGGGGCTCCAGGCTTCCGTGTGCAGAGCCTGCCCGCGAGCAGAGCCCCGGCATCCGCATGCTTCCCTCCCTCCCGCTTCCCATCCAGCCTTCCTTAAAGGCCAGGACGGAGGGGGCCGGGGGGAGGGCAGCTGCCAGAGGCCCCTTTTGCTTAAGAAGCTGAATTAGGTGGGACCCACCCCAGCTCTCAGGAGAGAAAAACAACACAGCAAGCGTGCGGTGTGCCGCCCGGACGTGGTCGAAAACTATTTTTAAGTAGCGATCGGCTGGAAGTTAAAGGCTCCTTCACGGTGTGAATGGGGCTTGATTCACCGCCACCCGCAGGTAGCTGCAGCTGTGTCTGGGGCGCGGCAGGTCGCCGATAAAGGCTTCCCGGGTGAGTGGGAGCCTGTCATTAACTGAGAGACGTGGTCTGTGGGTGCTTCGAGGGGTCTACGAAGTCAGTACCGGATGCCGCCACGATGGAAAAGGAGAATCTATTTGTTGATGGTTGCACAGAAAGAAGGACGCTGGCCATGTCTCAGACACCCACCAGCGAGAAAGGGATTCGATGGGGCACTGGCGGGGCTGATGGGCAGCTGAATGTGCCAGCGAAGGCAGCCTCCGGGGAGAGTCCTCCAGACCCGGAGACGAGGGGCGGGTTTTATTCCTGCTTCTGGAAGAAAGCCCCAGGGTTCTCAGGACAGAGCAGGAAATAAGTCGAGTTCACAGCTGGAAGCCTTAAATGCATGGCCTCCTGGGGCAGGTGGGAAGGGAGAGGGTTCCTGAACAAGGGGGATTGGGGCGACACACTCACAGGCACGGCGGCGGTCCGAGTGCCACGGGACCCACCCAGGTCCAGCTCTCACCTGCCGCCCAAACCCCCGTCTTTGCCGCGCGTCCTTTCCAGCCTCTTCCTGCCTGCTGCCCCTCCACCCACTGCTGCTTTACGACCAAGCCTCTTAACTGACTGGCGCTGAGCAGCGGGTGTCGAACAGCGAACAACGAAGAACGATTTGATGAGTCCTTTGTTCTCTGTTTTATTTATTAAATTGTGATTAAAAACCATTAAAGGCGCCCCGTCCTGATGCATAGAAATAAATCTCACAAAGACCCTGGAGGTCTCCTTCCGGGTGGGTCCCACTTCCCGAGGGCGGCCCCATCTCCTCTCTCAAGATCCCAGCCCCACCCATGCCCTATCTCGCCGCAGGACGGCCAAACGTGAGGTTCAGGAAAGGAGTTGTCCAAACGTCAAGGCATGACCGACCGATTGGATTGTGGAATCGATTTAGGAGGTCTTAACACCATTTGTTTAAATAGAAGGGGATGGGATGGGGTGAAACTGAATAGACACTCACCTACAAGTTAGGAACTATTAACATCTCCATTTTACAGACAAGGAAACTGAGAGGGAAGGTCACTCCACGAGCAAGTAGTGAAGACACGATTTAAACACAGAACTGTCTCCTATAACACTCGAGCTAACCCCCCCCGCTGTATTTTTATTATAGCATTCTCAAAAGTGACACATCTGACTGCCCTTCTCCCTGTGAATTTCATGTGATATGACTTTATATGCAATCATCATGTACCAATTTGATTGAATGAATGAATGGATGGATGAATGAAATGTGAAGAAAATGCAGAGGGTGATCTCTAAATTCATTTGTCCACTTTTTCTTGCACCTCCGATCTTAAAACAATCAGCAATGACAGAAGCCTGCATCCTGAAGGGACTCACGTAATTACACCTTTTCATCCCCACCCAGGAGGGCAGCTTAAAGATGACGTCACCCAACGATAACACTCTTTTAAAAATGCGCTTCCAGACTTCCCTGGTGGTGCAGGGGTTAAGAATCCGCCTGCCAACGCAGGGGACACAGGTTCGATCCCTGGTCCAGGAAGATCCCACATGCCACGGAGTAGCCAAGCCCGTGCACCACAACTACTGAGCCTGTGCTCTAGAGCCCGCGAGCCACAACTACTGAGCCTGTGTGCTGCAACTACTGAAGCCCGTATGCCTACAGCCCGTGCTCCGCAACAAGAGAAACCACCGCAGTGAGAAGCCCGTGCACCGCAACGAAGAGTAGCCCCTGCTCGCCGCAACTAGAGAAAGCCTGTGCACAGCAACAAAGACCCAATGCAGCCAAAATAAATAAACAGGTAAATAAATTTATTTTTTAAAATGCACTTCTTAGAACTTTCTTTTTACTTTTTTTTAAAGATTCTTTTGATGTGGACCATTTCTAGTCTTACTGAATTTGTTACACTATTGCTTTTGTTTTATGTTTTGGTTTTTTGGCCACAAGCCATGTGGGATCTTAGCTCCCTGACCAGGCATCAAACCTGCACCCCTTGCATTAGAAGGCTAAGTCTTAACCACTGGACCACTAGGGAAGTCCCAAACTTTCTTTTTAAAGATAACTTAGACAACTGGGAAAAGTCTGAGTACACACACACGCACACACACACACAAAGCCAATTCTAGCATAATGACAACCTACGACAGAGAGGATCAATCCAGTGAAATTAGGTGAACCACAAAAAGTGACGGCTGTTTATCCTATGTGCTTCCCTTTAAACGCAGTGACCCTCAACGCCAATGAAACCCAAGGACTGTGTGGAGAATCCACTCGTAGGTCCATCACCAGAGAGGCTTAAGGGCCAGAAAATAAATGTACGCTGGGTGAGGAGAGCAGGTGTTCCGAAGACCACTGGTCTACCCAGTATGCACTCACCCTTCTTCCTTCTCACAGAACTCCAGTTGTATTGCAGGCGGTCACGCCCCAGGAAATCAGCTGTAATTTCCCAGCTTCTGGTGCAGTCTGGGTTGGGCACCTGGCAGGTGTGACAAATGAGAGATAAGCAGAAGCCACTGAATGGCGTCTCCAAGAACACACGCGAAAGGGGGTGCTTCAGCTGTCCCTCCCTTTTTCTTGCCCTCCATCCACTTCCCCTCCTTTCTGCCTGGAATGCGGACATACCGGCTGGAGCTCCAGCCGCCATCCTGAGAGCATCGAGATGAGGGTCACTGTCATCAAGACGACAGAGCAGCAACCTAGGACCCTGAGTCCCCAGTGATTCCGGGAAGCCCACACACCTGGAAGCTCTGGATTCCCCACATCTGACATTTTTAAGCCACAAAAGTACAAAGCCGTATCTTGTTTGAGGCACTGCATTTTCTTTAACGTGCAACTGAGCGTAATCCTGAATGATGGATCTAGGACACCATGGACCAGAGGGCCATTCCATGCTGCAAGAACCGTAATCCTTGAGTGAGATTCTCCAGGAGAGCAGCCCTGACAGCCCTGCCCGCCGATCGGATGAGGAAGCCACGACTCCCGACTCAGCTCGCTCCTGTCACTCAGCCAGTTAACACGTCGTGCCAAGGTGGCCTCCTACTAACTCTCCAATCCGTGCACTTCCTTCATGCTGCGATCCTCATCCGGGCCACCAGTAGCTCCCCCTGGATCACGTGACCAGCCCGCTCAGCGGGCTTTCTTCTAGCCACGCCTCCCTTTAATTCGTGCTCTGCCGAGAAGGCAGAACAGTCTTGGGAAAATGGACATCGGACTGTGTCATCCTCTTCCTTAAAGGACTTCAGAGGCTGCCCCTTACCTTGAGGATCAATGCCCAGTCCTGACTGCGGCTTGCAACCCAGCCCTGCCTCGTCTCCAACCTCAGTCCACAGTCCTGACTGCGGCTTGCAATCCAGCCCTGCCTCGTCTCCAACCTCATCGTGTGGGTTCTCCAGGGAGGGGGATGGCCTGGGAGCGTGGGGTTGGCAGACACAAACTATTACATTTAAAACAGGTAAACAACAAGGTCCCACTGTGTAGCACAGGGAACCATATCCGATCTCCTGGGGTAAACCATAAAGGAAAAGAATATAAAAAATAAAGAATGTCTGTGTGTGTATAACTGAGTCACTCTGCTGTAGAGCAGAGATTAGCACAACACTGTAAATCAACTATACTTCAATTCAAAAAAATAATAGAAGAAATTTCTGTGGGATTTCAAAAGACAGGCAGGAAGTCATCACGGCTGGAGGCCATTGGCCAGTTTTATGGAAGGAATCACTCCGAGCTAGGCCTGGGTGGGATCAGAAGGTGGGCAGGACGGTCACTCCCGCAGGAAGGAGAGGCATGAGCCAGGCGCCTCCAGGCTCTAGGCTCCCAGTACATTGGTACAGCCTTTCATCAGGCCATGCGGGGATGCCCGCATAGAGTTGTAAAGATGTCGGCCAGCCGAGCAGGTCGTGTCCCCTCCGTCCACGCCTTGCCTGGGTCACACATTTAACTGCTCATCTTGGCTGGATCCACTTGGGCTGCTAGCGTAAAACACCACCGAGGGAGGGAGAAATGCATTGTCTTGTAGTCCAGGAAGCTGGGTGTCCAAGATCAAGGTGTGGGCAGGGTTGGTTTCTCCTGAGGCCTCTCTCCTTGGCGTGGGGACGGCCGCCTTCTCGCTGGGTCCTCACGTGGGCTTCCTCTGTGCGCGCACACAGTTCTGGCGTCTCTCTGTGTCCCCGATTTTCTCTTATGAGGACACCCGTCGTCTTGGATTCGGGCCCACCCTCGTGACCTCCTTCAGACTTAGTTCCTTGTTTCAAGGCCCCCATCTCCTTTAAAGAGCAAACAGAGTCATGTTCTGAGGTCCTGGGGGTCCTGGTTAGGACTTCAACATATGGATTGGGGGGGTGGGTACACAACTCAGCCCATAACACAACCCCTGAAGAAATAAGGGCTCCAAAGAACAGAGAGGAGTAACAGTAGCGAGGAGGAAGGACAGCACCTTTGGAGGGTGGAGCACAGTCAAGGGAGAACTTCGCAGTTGGCCTGGGGTCAGAACACGGGGCCTCGGGTTCCAAGGTTCCTGAAAGGGGCACCGAGCATTGGAGCATTTTGCTAATTCCAGGCCCTGAAGGCAACAGGACCCAAATCATTCATCATTCACGATGGGCAGCCGCAGAATTCATTCCTTTTTCTCCAAGATCTTTGGGCCGAGTAACAGTATGTCTTTTAATAATGGATCCTTAAGTTCAGTGGGAAAAATAGGTTTACAACTGATTCTGTGACCTTAAAATCAAAGAAGGGGGGTGTGCAGCTGTTGCAGCCTGCCTCTCCCCCACCATAGCTCCCGGCCAGCGGCACCGTCCGCCGGGCACGTCCCGCTCAGCCCTGCTGGCTGTACGTTCGACCCTCACACATGCACGTGAAGGGGGTCGGGAGCTGTAGAAAGAAGCACTGCAGGCAAAGGCGCCCTTTAATAATAGCACGGCCTAGGAGAAGCTCCCTGACAGCACTGGTTCCAGCTGATTTCAGCCAATAATCCAGTATGAGAAATTTCTAGAGTTCCAGTTAACCAAACAACTGCTCTTCTTAACAAAAGAATGGGACTGACTATTTGCATTAGAGTGGGCGAACCCTGGGGAATGATTTTAGGTGCATTCCAACATTGGCCCCACCAAACTCAGCAATGAAACAGTCAGTAATCAAGGAGCTGGAGGAGAAAACAGGTGGAAACGGGGTGTGTGTGTGTGTGTGTGTGTGTGTGTGTGTGTGTGTGTGAGAGAGAGAGAGAGAGAGAGAGAGAGAGAGAGAGAGGGAGGGAGGGAGGGAGGGGGAGAGAGACTGTGTATTTGCCCTTCCTTTCCCCACCGGCATTTAAAGAATGTCTTCTCAGCTATTAATTTCTTCCATTAAGAAACACTGCACATTGCTTAAGAGAGAAGGCTCTGGAATCAGATGACCTAGATTAGAATCTTGCCCCCAGCCCCACCCCCAGTTACAAACTGTGTGACTTTGAACAAGTTACTTAAATTCCTGGTGCCTATCCAAAGCCCATTCCTAACACCGGAATTCATAACAGGGCTGCGGAAATTCAGTAAAATTAAAAACTCAGAGGGCGTCGAAGAGGACCTGGCTCTGTATGTTAAGAGCAGCAGCATCATCTATCTCTCCTCCTTCTTTCCTGGGCCGAGACGATGAGACTGGGATTTCCAGCAATTCCCTCATTTCAGTAAATGCTGCTGCTTCGCTTTAGATGCCCCGAGAAGTTCACGATAATAGGATCTTCCCGGCGATGCTTGCAGGTCACTGGGTCACCTCAGCGGGCACAGGCTGGATCGTTTGTCTCGAAGCCTAAAATAATTGCTGCAGGTGCCAGTGTCGGAACCAGGATCACCGGGGCAGCCATTCACGCCCTGGCTCATCTGCCTTTTACGGTCGCCGCTAATCATCACGCAGGGGCCCCTCACTGCCCAGCGCGCGTGCGCGTCACTTACTGCACAGGCGGCCCGAGAATCCTTGATTCGCTAATAAGAAAATGACAGCCTAGTGTCAGTGTTTGAAAATTACCTTTAGGAGTCAGGCAGGAAGGGTATTTTTAAATGGTCATCATTTTTAAAAAGCGTAGACATGCCTTTTGCCATCCCGCATCCTCTCCCCGAGCCACCCGCCGCCCAGCCCTGGAGGCTTGGGGACGGCGGACCCCATCCTGACTCAGCGCCAGCCTGGGCTCTGCCGCCTGGCTCTGGTGGGGCGCAACGTCAGGTGCCCAGTAATCGGGATCTGAGAGGCATTAGCTCACGTGACCGGGCTGACCTCTCCTGGCCCTGATTAACTTTCCAGCCATAAGCCGCCGCCTGCAGCCTGCTCTGGGCTCACGCTGACTTTCCACATTTTGAATAAGATTCAACAAGTCTAACTGGTGGAGTATTTGTGTGTGTGTGTGTGTGTCTGTGTGTGTGTGTCTGTAGATGGAGATTCCTAGGGGAGAAGAAAGAAAAACAGAACAGCACCCCATAAGAGAACAGTGTAGGAAGTGCAGAGGCGGGGGTAGGAAGAGGGGTTGGCTTAGGAGAGAAAGATCTAGAAGCAACAGGAGGAATCACAGCCCCAGGTCACTCAGCACGAGGCAGAGGCCTGGGGCCCGACAGCTGGGGAAGGGTGTCCCTCTGGGTGCACTGCGTCTGTCACGTGCCGGGGAAGGAGACGGCTCCACTTTGGTTGTGTTTTGACGAGAGCTTCAGTGAAGTCCTCCTACGATATCCCCGTCCTGTGCCCCAAACGCCCCAGCTGAGCCCCCTCCTGGATGGAGCGGCACGGGAAGGCCCAGGGGCCTCTGGAAAGTGGGTGGGGGACCTTGTGACCACGCTGGCCCTCCCCTGGCACCAGGACCACGGGCGAGGGTGCCAAGAGGCGCCAGAAGGAGGGCTGAGCCGCCAGAGGCAGGGGTGAGGGGAAACTGCCTCTGCAGGTCCTCGGTCATGGCCAAGCCCCTCCCCGCGTGGGCTTTCAGACAGGCTGAGCTCCAGCCTCTTATCTGAAAAGCAAACAAACACACCTGCAGAAGGCAGCCTTTACACCCAGGAGTCCTCTTCTGTCGTGTGGCACTTTCCACGTTTTGACCTGCTTCCTAAAAGAGCTCCCGGTGATGAATCTGCCTGCCGGCCTCCAGTTTTCCCAAAGCGGGGAAGGCCCACCAACGCGCAGTGAGCGGCCTCGGGAAGGTCTGAGATCCCCAGACTCCGCGGTCCATCCACCCCAGTTCAAATCCCAGCTCTGCCACTTCCTGGCTGTGTGACCTCAGGCTAATTACTCCACCTCTCTGTGTCTCAGTTTCTTTGTCTACACAATGGTGATGGTAGCAATGGCTACTGTCTGAGTTTCCTGTGGCAGCAGTAACAAATTACAGCAAACTGAGTGGCTTAAAACGACAAAAATTCATTCTCCCACAGATCTGGAGGCCATAAGTCTGAAACCAAGGTCTCCGGGGCTTGGGGGGAGGGTCCTTCCTGGCTTCTTCCAGCTTCTAGTGCCCCCAGGCTTTC